TTGAATTGTGAGAGATGTACCATCTTGAATTTATTAATAATTTAACTCAACAGCATCCAACAAAGCAGGCTTTATTCTTGGATCACGTATAGCGATCATAGTCTGAAATGGAATAAACAGAATATTGGCCTAAATATAAGATGTTATTTAGAACACTCCTGAGACATTATGATGTAATTGTGTACTGAGGCGGAGAAGTGTTAGTCTACATTTTATTAAATATCCATTTTGGTGTCTAGCATTGTGCCAGGAAGATAAAAAGCAAACTTTTAAAAACTCATAAACTCAAGGTACTTCCCCCCTGGCCACCTTCCTCTCCATCTATGACTGACTTAGAAATGAGAAACCCAAGGTCTGTAGTTCATCAGCTGAGCTTCAGTCCAGGTGGTCTGCCAGTCTTTCTTTCTTGGACCTCAGAACCCCAGCATCTGCATCCGGAAGCATCCAAAAGCCTAGGGACCCATTTAAACTTTCAGCGAATGGCACACATTACCTCCTTTCTCCCAACAATGCATAGTCTCCTCTTACCTCCCCACCCCACCATCATGGGACTCCTCTCTGGGGGTCATGTCTGTTAGTGGACTTTCGTTTCTGCATCTCTACCTGGACTTCAGAATCATGTATTCTATTCTCCAGTTACACATTATGTTTACATACCTCTTTTCACTTTTCATTGTACTTTCATGTGTTTGCCCTCATGAGGAACTCTCCATTTTCCTGAGAGTAGGCTTGGCAGGTGGTGGTGTTTCATTTTATTATTGAGAGTGCTGTAGCTGGAGGTATTAATGACTTGCCCAAGATGCCAAGGAAAACTTTAGAGCTTGTACTTCAATCTTAATTGTTATAATCTACTTCTCTTGCGTATTCATTGTAATGCTTTTTTTTCCTTAGAGAAAATTTTTAAGAAAAATATAATTTAGAGACAGAGAATGCAACTTTATCATAAATATATATGTATATATGTATACTCATGTATATTATTCTTGGGTGTATCTATTAGGAACTTTGTCTAAATCTTGTAGCCCTTATGCCCTGTCCAGCTAATAGAGGAGAACACCTGTGAAGAAGGCCCTTCGGTGCACCGGAAAATAACACAGCGCAGAGGGGTCTTGGAAAGACCTCTTTCTGGGAAGGCTCCACAATACCTAGTTCATGGACTCAGGGCTGGAAGTCATCTGATTTACCAGGTGTTTGATAGTTAAATCCTTGGCTGGATTCCATTTGAATCCTCAAGGGTTCTGGAATTATTTTTGAGGAACAATTCTTATTATAAATGTTGTTTCATGGCCTAAAGAATGTAATGTTCTACCAAACTAATTGAGATGTTGACTATCCAAAAGAAAAGTTGTTTCTTTCTTTCTTTGGTCATCAGGATATTTGAAATGTTCTATTTGAAACATTTCCCTTAGAATTTGTTAGCTGTTATAAATATTGTATGTTTAGACATTTGTTTATTGCTATTGTTTATTTGAATGTAATTTTTTCAGTGTGACTAAATGATGATTGTTTTTCTTTTTCTCTTTCTGTGTTCCTCTGTCTTTATTTACAAGCTAGACACCAGTTTCTTCCAGAATTGTTAACCATTTTCTTATGTTTGGTTTGTATAACATGCACTGGGGTTCATGTGAATGTTTTCAGGTTTTTTCGTGCCTTAGTCAGAGGTTTTAAAGAAGAGAGGGGGAGTATGAGATTAAATTTTTAGTGCAAGCTAATAGAAGACCTACAATAAACCTAAGGTACTTGAAAATTTAATAAGAAGCAATAACTAGAGCTGGTTGTTTTCCCTCTTTGCCTTTGAATGGAAGTGCAGGCCCCTGGGGGAGGCGTGTCAATGCCTGTGCTTGAGCATTACCTACCAACTTGCAACTTACAATCTCTTTTTAGAACCAGCGTTTCTTAGAATTAAAAAAAAAAAAAAAGGTATATTAGATGTATATAATTGCACCCCATTGTTGGTGCATACAGCTCTAACTTCTCCTCTAAAATTGTGTGTCATGCAATATTGTGGCCAGGAGAGTACTTGTGGGAAGCTTAAAATTTCATTGGGTTTCTGTATTGTGGTTGCAGTGTACACAAGAACATGACATTAGCAAATAGAACATTCATTATAGTCCCCTTGGGGAAGCTTAGATTCAACTTTACGAATTCGCAATAGAAGTGGAAATGAATTTTTGTTTTTTGCCTGTAAAGACTCACATAGTCTTTTTAGTTTCTATTTAATGCTAAGCTTTATGTATAGACCCAAACAGTTCTAAGGAGATGCTTGAGGATAGATGTGTGGGATGTTCTGTTACAATTAATTATCTGTTCTGTCTATGGAGCTTCTCTACCGTAAGTGGCTTCACCGGTCCCCTGCAAGGAGTGGAGAAAGGATAATCTGAGAAGGTCAAAGGGATAACATTTTCCCTCAACATTTTTCATAGAAAGTCCAAGAGAGGTGAAGTAGAATAGAAATATGACCAAATATCCTATAATTTGCAAATTATTAAAGGGCTTCTGTATACAAAATTTTAGGCTTGTGCTTATGTGTATGAGTGTTTTATACCTTGTGAAGTAACCATAACAGGTATTACTGTCCCCATTTTAAAAATTAAGAGAAGCAAGTCGAGGTGATAGTTTTAAGTAATTTTCCCATTGTCACCTGACAGAGTGGTGTGGGGGCTGGAGCCTAGACATTAGGATTTGACGTTCATTTCCTCATATACTTTCCCCTTGAGCCTAGAGACCATACATTTTCAATCTTTCTGCTTAGCTTTCAAGTGGTAGCTGGAGAGATCAAGGCAGGAGCACTAGAATCTGTGTGGCAGATGGGAGGCTGAGAAGTCCTTAGGAACAGTGTCGGGTGGACAGGTCTTTGCATGGTTTATTCGCTTGTTGCTTGCTATGGCACTCCATTGCCAGCTGCCTGTGCCGTTTCTCCCAAGGTCTGCTGCCCACCGAAATTCTTCCCCATACTTCCTTGCTGCTGCTCTCTCCTACTCACCACTCTTCCTGCTACTGGAGACCATGTTTGGCACAGGAACTCCTAGCAAGAATGATTGTTCACCCCTCTCTGGAGAAAGAAAGTAAAAGTTAAAATAGGGTATCTAAATTGTAGTCAATTGTAAGGGAAGAGTGACTTAAGGAGACCCCTGCTCCAGGTTTCTTTTATTCTCCAGTTCATACTAAATCATCTGTTATTCCCCAGTTCATGCCAAACCATGAGCACTTTTCCATGTCCTTAAACATCATTTGAAAATATTTTTCATGATTTTTCAGCTTTCTGTTGAATAAATTTAGCATAATTTATTTATGTGTTCTTTTATGTTGGATATTTAGGTTGTTTTCTAATTTCTTTTTTCCTGAAATGAGCATCATAGAAAAAAATGCACTCCTTGGAGAATGGAATTATTAAGTAGTTGAAGATATGCATATCTGGTTTAAATGAATGGTTTGCCCTGGTCACTGACTCGTAAGTGCATTGTGACAGTAAATTCATTCAGATAAATACATGGTTATTTTTCCTGAAATACAATTTTGGTATCAGTTTTATTTTCGGATAGGGAAAATGAATAAAGGTGGTCAATGAAAAGAATAGATTTTACAGTTCTATCATCAGTATTCTAACCATAAAATTTATTTAGTGGTTAACCTTTTATAAAAGATTGGTGCAACAGCAATATTTTTAATGTACTGTGCTGATATCTAAATATATAAATTTGAAAGATCCAAACCCTATGCTAAATAATGATCACATTGTAAGAGTAAGAGTCATTAATTCATTGACTAGCTTATGTATTTTGGAGGTGTCTTCTTCAAACGTTAAGCTTGATTTTTTTTCCATCATGCATATAGAAGAGAGCTGACCAATTATGAGCAAATTAGTAGAAATTGAGAAGCCAACTTATATTTCTTAAGAGCTTTATCTTCTGAAACTATGGCCTTTAATTTCCTGTGTGGGATGGGTTGGGAGGGAGGAGATAGGAATTAGATATTTCCGTAATAGTGTCAGTTTCTGTCCTACCTTCTGACTCACATCTCCACTCACTGTCCAAGATTCAAGTGCAGCAGGGGATGAGTAGATCAGGTTTGTCGTTGGTATTTTAAAAAATATTTTATTTGTTTGTTTATTTATTCATTTGTTTATTTGTTTAATAGAGAAGGGAAGGGAGGGAGAAAAAGAGGGAGAGAAACTTTGATGTGAGAGAGGAACGTCTCTCAGTTGCCTCTTGTATGGACTCTGACCAGCAATCAGCCCTGCAACCCAGGCACGCGCCCTCACCAGAAATCACACTGGCGCCCTTCACTTTGCAGAATGATGCCCAACAACTGAGCTATGTCAGTCAGGGCTGTCCTTGGTATTCTTCCTCTTCTCTTTTTTGGGTATCTTTTTTCCTATGAGTATCTTCTTGACCCAGGTTCTACTCAAAACTCCTCATCCTAGCATTCATCAAGGCCCATAGTTTTGGAAAGGTCTCATTTTTCCTAATTGTTCTTGACATTGTCTCTTCCAGGTGTACTTGCTGTTAAGGGTGTTCCTGGATAAGTCTGTGCCTTAATTCCATTTCGTTTCTGTTTGTCTAGCTCAGCACAAGGGTCACAGTTCTATTTCTGGGCGAACTTTGAGGGAGAGGAGCACGACATAAAAATTAAACTGGGAATTCACATGCTTTTTTTTTTTTTTTTTAAGTAGAAAGAAGGATTTCGTCATTAGTGCAAAGGAATGTTTCTCCTTTTCTCAACCTGTGGTGGATAAAATGTGAGCATACAGGAATTTGACTTGTTGCCTTGAATAAACTCATTATTCTTAGGATACAGTCATATACAGAATTGCCTGTCTCTGCGTTTGTCCCGGAGTAATGGCTTTTAGTGTTCACACTTGTGATAACCTATGTTCCCTGAGTACTAGAGCCCCAGGACTGCCAAGTAAGGAAAGAGGACTTTCCTTACAAAGGTGGTTTTGTAACCTTTGTGCTACTGTAATGTGGTGGGTAATTGTCTTTTTTCTTCTTAATTTCTAGTGCCTAAAACAGTACATGCAGCTGGCAATCCGAGATGGATGTGGGTCTCCCATCACCTGCCCCGACATGGTGTGCCGAAACCACGGGACCCTGCAGGAAGCTGAGGTATGGATGAGTGCTATGATCTTCCCCTTTCCTCTTGATATTATTGCATAGGATCTTGCCTATGTACTTCCCATACAAGGAATCTAGAAACCAAAGTCAGAGGTTAACTTTTGAAAGGAATACTTCATTGCTACACAACTTTGGATTCTTCGTACCAACTGTTAAATCTGCTGTTTACCTCAGTTCTATTTATAAATGATATCTGAGAAACGAAGAAGCTCTAGAATAGATAGGCAAAGATGTGGAAATCAAATTTACCAAATGGGGAGTTTGGAGGCTGAATAGTGAGTGGTCTTGTGATCTCTCATACTTTAAAGATTAATAGACAACAGATTAGCCAGAGTTTAGACAGATCATACACTAGTAATTGGGTCTACGAAGGTAGCTTGGTCAAACCATTTCCAAAGAGCAGAGAAAGGCCTTTCATTTGATCTTTATCAGGCATCAGAAATGTCTTTTTTTTTTTTTTTCAGTAACTTTTTCCACCATTTTCTTGTTGTTTGCCTATAAAGACTCACATAGTCTTTTTAGTTTCTATTTAACGCTAAGCTTTATGTATAGACCCAAACAGTTCTAAGGAGATGCTTGAGGATAGGTGTGTGGGATGTTCTGTTACAATTAATTATCTGTTCTGTCTGTGGAGCTTCTCTTGAAGTAAGTGGCTTCACTGGTCCTCTGCAAGGAGTGGAGAAAGGATAATCTGAGAATGTCAAAGGGACAACATTTTCCCTCAACGTTTCGCTTTCCTTTGTTTCTTCACTCCCTGAGCAGTAGCTTGCCCTTCAATCTGCTTTTCATCTTCAGAGCCTGCTCACTGTAACTCAGAAGATAACCAACTCTCATTCATTCGTAAGGAGTTGGTGCCTCAAAGTGGTCCCAAGAAACAGATGAAATAATTTATTTATTCAGCAAACGCAGCACACCTGCTGTACATCAGGCACTCTTCTGGTGCTTTCATAGCCACTAACTATCTAATCCTTTCAAAAAATGTATAAAACTGAGGCCCAGAGGGTTTAAGTAATTTGCCCCAAAAGACATATTTTAAAAAGTAGAGGATGGTTAGAAATGCATTTCTTTCTATATGGCTAGCTAGATGGATAGAATGTGTGATAAAGGACTTCATCTTTGGAAGCCAAATAGTGCACATGTATGTGTAGATATATATGTATATATGTGTAGATTATGTATGTGAGCATGTAGATGTGCATGTGTATGTATACATGCTTCATTTACAAATATATATACTCTTACATGTAATTTTTTGCTTCAAGCAAAGCACTTAAATGTTATAGGCCACTTCTAATCAATGTGCCTGTGGACGTCCTGTGTTCAGCTTATGGAATACCAGCTAAGTGGTACATGTGAGCTTCCAGTGTTTTTTTTAGAGAAGACTCAAAAGAATTCATAATGGTTTAGAAGTGATTCGTTTTAGGAAAAACATGAAATAATTGATTTTTTGGACAAAAATGTAATATTCAATATGCAAAGGAGAAACATTGCTTACTTTTGTGTGGGTAATGGGCAGAAGGAAATTAAAGTGGGGAAAGATTAAGTTAGTCACCAAGAATACTATTGATCTATGCAACACCGAAATAGTTTTTAAAATGAGATTCAGGTACTCAGGAGCGTGTTTCTCTGCAAAATCCTTCCAAGAAAGGTGCTTCCTTTTTGACCTCTGATGTTTGATTAGCGAACAGGTGTTTATTAGGCGCACACAATGTGCCAGGCCCTGATGTGCGCCTGGGTACAGAGGTGAATAAGACAGGCGTAGGGCTGTTTCTCCTCACGGTTGCTTCTAATCTGGCAGAGACATTAAACTGATTATAAAAGTGAAAAGCATAACATGGAATTGGGAGCAAGAGCTATGTCTCATATGAAATCTTACTTAATTCATGTATGCAAAATCTATTAAACCTAAATGTATGTTTTGGTGAAGCTCTTAAAATAAGTCTTTGAAATTAATTACAGTTCTATATTCGACACCTGTGCTGTTCGAGCCACTCACCACTAGCTTCACGTGGCTATTTACAATTAAATTAATTAAAATTAAATAAAAAGTCCATTCCTTTGGTTGCACTAATCACATTTCAAAAGCTCAGTAGCCACATGTGTCTTGTGACTCCCAGATTGGACAGCACAGAATAGAACATTTCCATCATAGCAGAAAGTTCAGTTGCATAGTGTTGTCCTAGACTTTTCTATATGGGTAGTAACCATTAGCCATTGACATTTTGGATATCAAATGTTAGGGCTGATATGTTCAGATGAGTGAGTGAAGCCCATCATTTGTTTCGCCATTCTCTAGAACAGAGCTTATTAACTTTTCTTATTTTCTTAGTATAGACATTTTCTTTTCACATTCCCTGAAGTTGTCCTCTTCTTTTGAATCCTTACCCTTTCTCCACTGTGCCCATTCTCATTCATGTTTTCCTAGTTCTCATTCTATTTATGCGGTTTTACTCTAAAAACAAGTTTACTTGTAGGCTGTATTCAAACCAAACAAGCACATGGTGGCTCCTAAAAATTACAAAAGGATATTTGAAAAAAAACAGAACAAAAACATAGTATTTCTTAAATTCTCCAATTCTCCAAAGTCTGTTTCCCATTAGATGAGTAAGAAGTACTCCAGGGTGTCATTTCTGTACTTACTAGTCTTGCGAGCAGCCTGACTGAAGATGGGCAGGAATGTACAATAATCATCTTCTTAACCAACTTGCCACGATATATTTTTTCAGAGTAAAAAAAAAAGGTGGGATGGTGGTGGTAGTGATTTTCTCTCATTTTGAATTGAGAAATGGATAGAAGGTTATGATGGAGATGTCGGTAGCTTCCTTAGTTTATATGGGACTATTCTTTTCAAAGTAAATATCACATGTACACATGAACTTGGACTATACTGCCTTCTTTTCTGACTTGCTTTACATCGAGCTTTCCTCCTATGCAGGTATTATTATAATATGGAGCTCTTAATCTAAATACTATTCAATATATTACGGTGGGGCTTAATCCACATTATGCTTGACTGGATTCTATCTCCATGATTGTTTTTTCTGCCTTTAAAGAAATGTTGAATTATACAGGTAATACGTGACTGTATTTTGCTTATTAAAAATACTTCTGGTTAAGCTTAAGTTCTCTTTGTTCTACTGCTATTTATATTACAATATACAGTTCTTCATCATTTATTGTCTCACAAAATGCTTGTAAGTATAACATTTCTTCATCTTCAAAGGACACAAAGAATTTAAACTCTTTCCTCTGACTACTTCCCCGCATGGGCCTAGTTCACACTGTTGACTGTGCTCTGTCTTCTGCGGGCTTTAGGTCCTGCCCGCCTTCTTAATGTTTCCAGATTTGCTCAGCTGTGGCTCTGCCTCATTGATCAGGAATAGCTTCATCAGCAACGCATTTGATGCCCAGCTGCAACACTGTTTGCCCCTGGAGGAAGCAGTAGAGAAGGCAGCTTCCCCTTCCCTGTCACGGAAGCTGCTGGGAGGCCGTGCCCAGGGAGGACTTGTGCCTCCGGAGGTGCTCCACTGGAGCCAGGGAAATAGAACGCTTTCCTCCCTTGCGTCATCTGGTACTTTCAGCTGTGGCTCTGTGGGGTTTTTCTGATATACTTGATCCAGGGATCTTGTCCAACATGCAGTTATGAAAAGCAGGACACAGATGGTTTGTTCTGATAGCATTAGTTCAGTCAAGGCCTTTGCTTGGAGTTAGTAGCCTCGTTAAAAAGGCGATGACTACTTTAAGCAGCTCCCTTACGGTGTTAGGAAAGGAGTGTATCATCACTTGCTGGGAGAGCCTGAACCATTGGTCTGAGCCATGTACACTTTCAGTGCTGAGCACATAACTCATTTGAGTACTACCTCCCATGACATGGCCTGAGAAACTGAACTTCTTCTCACTGCCAGCCAGCAGTGGAAGGTAGGGAACAGCTTCTCACCCACCAGTACATCTTTCAAGCTCTGGGGCCCAGAAGTGATCAGCCTGCCTTTTACTGCTGGTGCCACAGCACGCCCCAGAGGAAGGATGGGTGCAGCTGGTCTTGCCGAGAATGGCGCTCTGGAATTCTAGGGAAGGGATTTAGGGTGGGCTATTCTGGAAGACTAGCAGAGGGGGATGGTGGGGTGTGGAGGTGCAGGACTAGGGAATTTGAAGCTGCATTTGCAAAATATACCTAGTTTTTACTCATACTGCATGTACACTGAGGGCGGCTGTGGTGATGGTTGCTGGAATTACAGAGATCTAAAGGGTCCCCCCAAGTCACCCACTAGCACTGCCTCCACTTGTCGTATCTTACCACCCTTTCTTCCCGTTATTGCAGTGCAGAGCTGGGGCAGAGAAAAGAGGAGGATGTCCAGGCACGTGGTCATAGTCCTGTTACTGTGGTTTCACGATCTGAATGGGAAGGGGTTGAGTCTGTCTATAATAATAACCTTTCGCTGCAATATATATTGGCTGGGGAAGAGGAAAACTTTGAAGTGGAAAGGATAAAGGAATCTCCTATGCCAGAGTTAATAGGTGTTTTTGAAGTTCTTAGCTGAATTTTGTTCTAGAACATTTTTAAAAATCTGTTTGAAAACTGCATATAAGTGGGGAATGATGTTTCTATGCTTTTTCTTTAACTAAACGCAAATGTAAGAAGACTAAGCAGCAGTGGGTGGAACGTGTCACAGGGGTGTGCACACAGGCATATCCCCTTTTCCCTGGATGAGCTGAGGGAGAAAAGGCAGGCGGAGCTGTGGGAAGCCGTACTGACGCCTCTGTACAAGGGGTCAAAAACAACAACAAACAAACAAATGCAACCCTCTGCAGGGAGCTGTGAAAAGATTCCTGGCCCTGGAGTTCCAGGTCTCCCCAATCCTTCGCTTTTCCAGTGGCCTTGCCATCTGGCTCTCAGACAATGATGTTCTCTTGTTTCTTCAACCAGGATTTGATATGTAGCATGTAGGTAAGGAGGTGAGCTTGGTTTGTTATACTCAGGTGAATGGGTAAAT